TGGGGGGGGGGGGGGGATCGGGGGGGATAAAAAGAGTCAACGAGAGTGAACGTATGGGTTGTAATTATAGAGAGTCAAGGGAGAAGGAGGAGGGCGAAAGAGTATCGAGGAATGGGAGAGAGCGATGGGAAGAGTATGCAGAACGTTTAACCACTCGTTGCATCCCCAACACAGTAGAGGTCAATCTCCCCCACACCACCGGAGTACATGCTCTTCATGCCATCTCGCCACTCCATAAAGGCAATCTGGATGTCGTCGTCACTCTGTATCACAATATAGTCGCCGTCCTCGTCGCGGTACTGAAGCTTCAGCACACCCTTGCCAATGCTGTTGCTCGTGAAGCGCGCCAGTTTGGCGTCGATCCGATCGATGAGCGACTGGTACGAGATGTTAAAGGCCACCACCAGCGTCACGTAGTTGCCGCTGTCCAGGTTGACCCGCACCTTGAGCTGCGTCGGAAACGGCATATCCGAGCTGCCGCCGTTGGCGTTGACCCCCATGGGGCTGGTCGCTGGCGGCGACGCCAGGGGGTTAGCCGACCCGAGCGATGTCGACATGGCCCGCTGGTTGGCCGCCGCCGCATCCACGCGTACCGGGTTGGGTGCGGGCGGCTGGCTGCCCCGCGGGTATATCGGCTGGGTGGGGAACTGGCCCATCTGCCCGCCCAGGGATCCCGAGTGCTGGTGCATCCGTTGCTGAGCGCCTGGACTCTGTGTGTTGGTGCGGATGGGTAGATCATTCCGCGGCGACGACGTCTGGGACCGGGGAATGGTGTTGTCGTGGAGGTGCTGGGGGATCCCCGGCACGGCCGGCACGCTGCCGCCCTGACTCGCCTGACGCTGCCGCACGCCGCCCGGCGCGTTGATGTCGGGCGTGCTATATGACCGGCTCCGCTGCTGCTGTGCCGCACTGTGCTGTGTCGCCATGGCGGGGAGTGAGGGGCCCCGCGGGTTCCTGCCATTCATGGCCCCTGGGTTGGGTGAGTTCTCGTCGCGCGATGGTGCGCGCGGCATGGCTGGTGCCGTGTAGCGGTTGTTGTCGTCCCACATGGGCTGCGGCGTGCCCGCCTTAGAGGGCGGGAAGTTTGAGAACAGGCCGCTGGCGTTGCTCGTCCGTGACGACGCTGGCGAGTTGTCAATGGGCGAGAAGTAGCTGTCCGTCACTCGGGATCCAGGCGAGACTGCACCGTTTGCGGACTGGATCTGGAGGCTGAGAGGTGCGGGCGGGGGCGGCATGGGGAACCGCGGAGGTGGCGCCCTTGCGATACCGGCCAGCGACTGTGTGCTCTCGTTGGTTGCTGATCGCTGTCGTAGGCTGGAGCTCGACGATGTCCGCGGCATCAGCACAGGCTGGCTGGGGACCGGGAACTGGGCTGGTGCCGTGGCAGGGCCGTATTCGTGTTCGTCGTCGTCTTCTTCGTCCTGCTGCTGCAGGTAGGGGTTCTCTAGGTTGCGGGCCTGGTACCTGTTCCAGGTAAAGTCGTCGGGGAGGCCGTCAGAACCGCCACCCGAAATTCGAGGACCGTTCTGCTTGCGTTGGACCTCGAGCCCGTCCGCCCATTTTCTCATGATTTCCTCGTTGGGGAACTTGATGGTAAAGTTTTCCACACCAGGGTCGCCCTTCCACCAGATTTGTACACTATGCGCACCGGTGCCTGGGGTATGGCATCAGCAATGTGTTTCACCTCATTCTTCTTCCTCTGCTCCAGGAACAGGGCAGGCAATGTCTCCTTCACAAAGCACAGAGCAGGGAGCTTACCAGGCTTTGAAAGTGTCAAGATGTCGGTAACATTCGACATAAAGATCCTCCCCTTTAGGTGGAGCTTTGCATTCTTATTCCGTATCCTTGGGCCCGTAGACCTAGTCTTGTCCTTTTTGTCCTTGCTCTTGTTGGCCGATACTTCTTTGCAGCAGAGCAAGATGTTTTCGAAAAGGTAGATACCGTACTGCATAAGAGTGGGCCGTTAGCATTCCGTTGACAGCAAACAGAGAAAGACAGTGGGTTGGGAAGAGGGGGAATAACGCACATCCTTCTCCTGATCAACCTTGCCGGTGATGACAGTATACATGCCATGCATGAGCAGCTGGCCGAAATGGTCGCTGTTGTGATTCTTCCAGTCGTCAACTCGAGAGTTGAGATCCTCAAAGGCCTCTTCGAGGAGATCGCGGTTCACGGCCTCGTTGGCCTTCTGGAGGACCCTCTCGGCGGCTTCGCATCCGGCAACTAGATCGGCCTTTGTCTCCTGGTCCTCGGTCTTCTTGTTCAGATCCTTGAGGAGGAGAGGGTACTTGACCAGGCGCTGCATAGGCTTCAGGAGGAAGCCGTCGAGCGTGTTGAAATCGAGGGCGACGGGATGGTTGATGACCTGGATCTGGTCAAAGACCTGCTGAGCAATGAGGGCGGCTTTTCGCTGGTTTGCGATGAAGGGCTGATAGATGTCGAAGGCGTCCTCGTACATGACAAAGGGGGCGCCCCACTTCTGGATTGCGGTAGGCATCGAGTTTGTCGTCTCGACGCGGATGAGGAAGCGGCGCTGAAAGTCGAGAATCGAGTTGATGTTGAGAAAGATGGAGTGGACAATGTCTCCGGGAATGGCGCCCTTCTGCTCGAGGTCCGTCTTGAGGTCGTGCAGATTCTCGAGGTCCTGGACGTACTTGCGCTCCGTGTCGACGAGCTCCTTGACAATGTGGTCGCGGTAGGTCATCTGGGGCTTCTGGGCTGGGTCGGCTAGGGGCTCGTCCGGGTAGGGCTGCAGCTGCATGAGGAGTCCCCGCTGCTCGGCCAGGTCGAGGACGTAGTTGACGACCTGGGTGACCTTGACGAAGCCACTTGTGTCGGTGCCCATCAGGTCGGTGACGACAAAGCTGTCCTGGGGAGGCACCTTGAGCTCATCCATGCAGGCTTTGACGAACTTGAAGATGGCAATCTTGGGCTTCTTGGCCTCGGAGGCATTCTGGTCGACGGCGAGTACGGTCTCGGGTTGCAGCGCATTGTATATGGTTATGAGGGGGAAGCCAGTGCGGAAGAGGTTCCATAGCGGATCGACAGGGTCTGTGGGATCCAGCTCCTCGAGGTAGGGCTCGAAGCCGGGGACCTTGGCCAGTCGCTGCTTGAGCGAGAGGCAGATCTGGTAGAGGGATCGGGAGGCATCGGCCTTTTGGTTGATGATGTTTGCCGTAGGGATGACGTTGCCCCCGTTCATAGAGCCGTTGCCCAGGGTGTTGAGCGATGCCGAGGAGCCGGAGACAGCTGTGGAGCCAGATAGTTGGCTGATGCGAGGCGCACTCATGCTGTCGGTGATGAGCTATGTGAGGTTTTGCGGGGGTGGTGGTCGAGTGAGAGTGCTACTAGGAGACCGGTCACGGGCAGTAGCCGTCTCCTTAGTCCATGCGTCGTCGAGGCAAGCCGCCTGTGATGAAGATGCCGATGAAACAGGCAGGAGCGTTCCGAATGAAGAGTTTGAAAAAAAAGAGACGGATGAAGAGAGTAGGAGCAGGATAGCTCTCTCGACTCTCACTTCCGATCCCTACGTCGTCGCAAATGTGTGGTGTAGCCTTTTTGTCGGTAATGCCACAAGACAAGAACAAGGAGGGGCGGAAGCCGGGGAAGGTAGGTTGTCTCCGTCGAACACTTTATTGAAATCGTAACGTTTCTCTTCTCTACCGGTGGAATCAGAAAGACAAGCGTTGTTGTCGTCGTCGTCGTTTTTTCCGCGGTCGCAAACGTATATTCGTAACGGTGTGGGGGAGGGGAGTCGAGAGAAAGACGGTAGTAGTATTAGTAGTAAGGAAAGAAGTTGTGTCAGGGGGGGGGGGAGATGGCCGATCGAGGGAGGGGTTCGTTGACTGGGAAGTGAGACCCTTTGGGCGGATGGTCGGTGGGAGAGCTGGTGGGCGATGGACGGCAGTGGCGAGCAAGGGGCGGCCGGCTGCAAGGGGTGAAACGGCCGGGCGGAGAGATGGACAAGAGAAGTATGAATGAGAAGCTCGGGGAAGATGGGGCCTCCCTCTTTTTCTCCTTCTTGTTTGTTGTTTCGCGTGCTTTGGGTCGGGAGGCGTGGAAGGACGACGGACGAGGAGGCGGGAGGAAAGGAGTGGGGGATGCCTAGCACCTAGGAGTATAATAGTAATACTCCGTACAGGTACCTATAGGCTAGCCTCCACTAGTCTATAGCCTGTAACCTGCCCGTACGATAGCCTGTAGCGCAGGGGGGGGGGGAGCAATAGGGGAAATGGTAGAGAGAAGCACACCCTGTCGACAGGGAGATTATAGGGAATCGATAGTGGTAAAAGGGGGGTGGGGGAGGTTTTGTCGATGGCAGATATCGTGAGGAGGGAGGCAAATACCACGAGTATACTCTGCAATACTACTATGATACTAGCTAGTAGCAGCTAGTACTCCTAGTAATGAATGGAATAGAAAACAAATAGAATATAAAAAGAAGAGTCGAGAAGAGAAAGGATAGGAATAGGCCTGATGCAGATGCAGATGCATGTCTGGAGGCGGCTCGCAGCGGTTGGGGGGAACGAGGGAGGGGATTCCAGAATACAGGCTGCAGAGAGCTACATGTATTACAGAGTGCCTACATATTATAGTATGGATATGGAGAATCAACAGAGCATGGAAGTTGATACGAATGGTCTGAAGTACTCGTAGTACTAGTAAGATCATTACTCTGTACACTGGTCCTTCGTGATCAATGTCGGTTGTCAAACGTACGGATACTCGTACTATTACTCCGTACTGCCAGTAATACTAACAGTATGCCTACCTCTTGTGGAGAGGTATAGCCTATAGGTATGCAGCAGTAATAATACAGCCTATTGTCCACTGCAATCGTAAGACAGAAGGTAAGTTCACGAGTAATATGGCCTCTGCATCTCGTCCTTCTCCCCCTCTACCTCTCCCTCTTCCTCACTCCTCCCACTTTCTTTCCCCTCCCCTCCTCTCCCCTCCTAGTGCCTACACAAATACAAGGTGCGCCCGAGCGTCGAGCATGCACTCGGTCGGGCACTTGTGGATCCCTTTCTTCCACGGCGTCAGTTTGCGCTGTTTCAAATTATTCCCTCCCTCAACCCCCCCCCCCCCCCCCCCCCCCCCCTCCCCCCCGTCGACGCTATTCCCAGTCAAGGTCAAGTTCCCGCCTTTCTGTCCCCCTTTAATCAAGGGACTGTCATTGATGAGTGCCGGATCGCTTTCTGGTCCATGGACATGGCCGTTTGCCTAGGGCATACGAGCACGCTTTCGTTTCGTGCAATACAGGTGGTAGAAGTGCTGCTACCTTACCGAGTGTAGTAGGAGTCGTACGAGTACGAGTAACGACATTGAACATTGAAGTAGCAGAGTACTGATCTTCGCACCGTCGCCCTCAAGTCATACAGCAGCTTTTGTGTTATTAGCACTCTGTACTCGTACTCCGTATCCGTAATCTGTATTACAATTTGTTCGTGTTGATACGTATACACTCTTGGCTTCTCCTCCTTGCCCCCAACCTGGACCCTGGATTATCGTCCGAATGGCTTGCCCGTTTCCACGAGCTTTTCATGCGCGGTCCAAATGCTCACATGATGACCCTTAGCGCTTGGTAACGGTATATTACTCGTAATCCTATGACCCCAAGTGCCGGTGAATGGCCCGCCTGCAGCCGCCGCCGAATCATAGTATCGACTATTATTATACGTCCAAGCTGTTGCTGCGGTCATCTACGAGCAAGGAGCGAACACGGACTGGGAGTATTACAGGGTACAGTAGAGCACATGTACGGAGTATTGCAAAGCCATCAACTCACGAATTAGCACTCGGTAGGCGTATACGACGTGGAAAGCACTCGTACCATCCACAACATTACTCATGCAACACATGCCCACGCGCCCGCACTGCAGTTGACCTATGAAGTGCTTCTAGATGCCTTCCCTGGTCACACTAGTCGTTGCAGCGCCCGTAGCGCTGCTCATGGCAGCACACACCTTGGTAGCTTGAATTCCGACGCACACGTTTGCGTCTTACTCGTACTGGCACGATCATCCCTCCGCATACTCGAAACTGTAGGAGTAGTACTATCCGCTAGTATCAGTACTGCTAGTATTTTACTATTTCCTGATTGGAAGAGTGAACTCAAGTAATGCATTGAGCCTCTGATACAAGAGCTTCCACGTCTTAGTAGCACATCAACGTCCTCCCCATCACGCCTACCTACCCTGAACACAGAAGTCTGGTACCCAATTTATATGACTAAGCAGTCAAGGGCTGCTGCCTCACATTCACATCTGTGAATAACCTCATAGATTTCTTCCTTTTCGTTCAAAAAAGCAACAATCAGACCACACGCCTATCGACCTAGGACGTACCGGTAGACAGAGACCACTGTTTTCATGTCTACGGGTCATCGTGTGTTGTCGCCCATCGCAAGCATCAGTCGCAACAACCGTCAATTTTTTTATCACCCACATCCATCTCTAATGTTCAGGGTCCCATGTGAAACCGGCTTGACCATTTTCCTCGGATAGCGCACGGAACTGGCTTTCATTGTTTTATGGATGGTTATAAAACCGTATTCTTTCTACGAGCGCGTATATTTTTCGGTTGACTGGAGCTGTGAATGGGATGCTCTTTCCGTCCGCCGACGACTGCTACTTAAACAGCATAATCGCATATATTACAAAGTTAGCATGTCTAACGTAACTATCTATGTACGCAAGGACTAATACATAAGAAATGAAAACAACGACGCTTCGGGTTATTGAATCTAGATTATTCACATCTCATTTCGTTGAATTATGCTAACTTAGATGCTCAGAGTTGGCACGAGCATCTGTGTCATAGCTAAGCATAGATGATGGCCTCAACTTCCGCCACTGGCCCTCGAGCACCAGCGGTCTACGGGTTACATCAATAGCAGCCAGGCTACCTTGGGCTGGGTTTACCTACATAGGCAGCAGCGGGGGCTCCCTAGTGCTAAGAGCCCCGGAACCCGCGGGAAACACCACCAGGGACTCCCTGTAAACAGAGCCCTGGCCGCCCATAGGTCTCCAATACGTACTGGAGGGGTATAGCCTTAGCTATTTAGGAGTAGGTTCAACGGGCGGTGTTAGACTGGAAGGAAGCCACCAAGGGAATGCTCCTGGCTCCGCACGACGGATACTGCGGTGCTCGCCGCTGATAAATGGTCTGTGCGTGTCCGGCCGTTCACCTCACCACCGTCCATCCACACTACGTTGTGCCTCAGCTATCATCGTCACTCACCTCCCATCACGACGCTCTACCGACTACGAACCCCCGCAACTCTCTCCAACGTCCCGGGCCATCTCCTGATCATTTCCTGGGCTGCAAAATCCTCACACACCTATCGCGGCCCAACTTTCTGGCCAGACAACACGTCGCGGGCACTGTCTTGCTGCGTGTCCGACCCTCTGGTGCCCACGCAGCGACCAAGACATATATTACTTGTCCAGCCCGACTCCCATGAGGTCATTTGACAACCTGAAAGGCACCCTCTCCTGTCACAATAGCGAGCCTGTCATGTTAGGGCAGTCACCTTGATCTTGCAACCATGGCCAAGAGGGATAGGTTGACCATGAATTCCACACACCAGCCTGACGAAGGTTACTCAGAAGACCCTCTGAATTCCGGCAGGAGCTATGATCTACCTGCCGTCCTTTCGACTCTCAAGTTGCCGGCAGATCTGCCAGCTTGGGTGTCGGAAAATGCATCCTCCATCCCCATATCACTGAAGAAGGGTACGTTCCTATCCAACAAGAGAGGCCTTGTTTCCTTCCAATGTGCTGCCTTGGATCGCAGACTGGATCGATGGCGGATGCTAATAATGTAACCTCAGAGCTTGCGATGGCCCTTCTCCACCAGCTGCCGACCTCTGCCATCTCCGAAATTGTCCAGCAGCTGCATCCTAGACTATACATCAACTTTGTCCATCACTTGCCAGCCGAAATCTGCCTCAAGATCCTCTCCTACCTCGACCCCAACTCCCTCGTTTGCGTCATCCAGACCTGCCGGGACTGGTGTGACTTAGCAGTCGACCCTAAGCTATGGGAGAGGCTATATCGACTCGAAGGATGGAAAGCCATCCAGAGCGAGATTGAGTCTTGCGAGACCAGTGTCAACATTGGCCTGAACGACTCTATCAGTCACCTTCATCGCATCCAAAACGCAGAGGGCCATACTAGTAAGATACGCGCGCTGCAGAGTGACGACACCAACATGGATGTCCCCATGTCGGACGGCGATAGGGCCGTCTCCCCTCTCGATAACCCGACAGGTCGGAGCATCTTTGGCTCCGGCAGCACCAGCAGTCGACCACATGCCGCCCCCGCACCCCTTGTGGGTGGTCCGGACTCGGACCGAGCCACCACCGCCCATAGACGCTTCGGGTCATCTGATTTGCGGCACAAGCGACGTGCGGTACGCGCGCCGTCGGAAGCCTCACTGCCCCCCATCTTGCCACCCAAGGACCCCCGCGCCCTCAGACGTTCTACCCTGTGGATGTGGGATGGCAACAACTCGCGCTACCGCCTTAATTGGAAGTATCTGTACAACATGAGACGGAGGCTCGAATCTAATTGGGAACTGGGAAAGGCCGTCCCCTTTCAGTTCCCCCACCCTAACCATCCCGAGGAGGGCCATAGCGAGTGCATCTACACTCTCCAGTTCGACGCCAACTACCTCGTCAGCGGAAGCAGGGACAAGACCATGAGGGTGTGGAATGTCCACACCCGCCGGCTGATGAGGCCGCCCCTTGTCGGCCACGATAAATCTGTCCTGTGCCTTCAGTTCGATTCTGATCCAGACGAGGATTTGCTCGTCTCGGGCAGCAGTGATTCCAACATCATCATCTGGAAGTTCTCGACCGGCGAGATACTCCAGAAGATCCAGGATGCCCATTACGAGTCGGTTCTCAACGTTCGTTTTGACAAGCGCGTGCTCGTCACCTCATCCAAAGACAAGAGCATCAAGATTTTCAACCGCCGCCCCTTGAAGTACGGTGACCTGGGATACAACCAGGAGGTGGTCCAACCGACGGCAATACGGCTGCGAAACTATGGGTACGAGCCGGAACTCTCCCAGCAACTACCCATTCAACCAGCCTTTACCATGATCGGGAAGCTTGACGGGCACGGTGCCGCAGTGAACGCTATTCAGATTCGAGGCAACTCGGTCGTGTCGGTGTCGGGAGATCGCCACATCAAGATCTGGGACTGGCCCAGACAAGTCTGCACTAAGACGATACCCGCACACGACAAGGGAATCGCATGCGTGGAGTTTGACGGGAGGAGGATCGTGAGCGGTAGTAGCGACTACGAGGTTAGCATTTTCGATGCCCCGACGGGACTCAGGGTGGCGGAGCTTAAAGGGCATGCCCACCTTGTGCGTACCGTGCAGGCTGGCTTCGGTGACCTACCGTACAGCGAGGTTGAAGACAGGCTCGAAGCGAAGAGGGTCGACGCCCGGTACTTCAAGGCAGTCGAAACGGGAATGGTGGGCTCCCACAGCGAGCGGACCAGCCGAGGCGAGCGACGCGTCAATGCCGGCAGCTCCCACCCGGCGGATGTGCAGGCATATGGTGCCCACCTCCCGCCGGGTGGCGGCGGCGGCCGCAAGTATAGCCGCATCGTCTCGGGCTCGTATGACCAGAGCATCATCATCTGGCGGCGCGACAAGGAGGGCGTCTGGAAGCCCGCACATCACCTGCGCCAGGAGGAAGCGGCCGAGGCAGCGCAGCGCAGGGAGGCCATCCGGTCCAACTCCGACCCCATCGCCAGCCTGATGCATATGGCGACGCAGCCGGCCGCGATGCCCCTCGTGCCGTCAGCGACCCCTCGGATCGACCCCGGCATGCCGCTGCCCACGCTGAACCAGACGGCCTGCCTGCCCCTCCCCAACGTGCACGACGCGCAGCCCCACCTCTCCGGTGGCGTGTACACAGCCCTCATCGACCAGGTGGTGCCTGCCGGTGCCCACTCGCTGCAGCAGGCTCTGGCCAACTACCCGGGTATGCTGTCGTACCGCAGCTACCTCCACATGTCGATTGATCGGGAGCCGTCGACCTACGTGCGCGCCCAGCTGAGACAGGTCGTAACCGACGCCCTCGTCACTATGCACAATGCTCAGCGGGCCTTCCAGCAGGCCACGGCACCCATAGCGGGACAGGAGACCAACAGCTCCGCCGGCGGCACGGCGGGCTCCACCGCATCCGGGTCCGGAGCACCTGAGTCGGCCCGCGCCCGTGTTGCTCCCTCCGACACTGAAGCAACAGCAGGACTATCAGCCACTCCGGTGGCGGCAGCGGCAGCAACCCAAGGACCACCGGCACAGCGATCACACCAGGCGCAGCAAGCCCCGCCGGTGCCCGCCAATGCGGTTCCCATGCCGGATAACGCCCCAGCAAGGGTCTTCAAGCTCCAGTTCGATGCCCGCAAGATAATATGCTGTAGTCAGGCTCCCATCATTGTGGGGTGGGATTTCTGCAACGATGATCCGGAGCTTGAAGGGGCGAGTCGGTTCTTTGCGACGGTGGATTAATACTCACCCTATTTTACCTCTCTTCACCCTGATTTTCCCTGGATTGATATCTGTGTCTGATGTAAATCCGTCACTTCCTCATCTTTCTCTCCTGCCTTTGGCGCATGGAATATTTTATCTGGTATAGCGTGGTGTATAGATGGCATATTCTCTAGTCTGAACATTAGGAGCGTTCCATGAGGCTTGGATGTGGATATTGCTAGATCATAGGAAAGCCCGTGGACGATGATGGGGGTCCGGACAAATACATGGTTGAGAGTTGTTATTCAAAGTAGTGTAGAGGTGGTTTGTATCATTGACAATATCATTATATATGCTTTCCGACTCCGAGAAATAGTGACCAGGAGAATATCCGAACAGGAAAAAAAAAAGATAAGGCAAAACGAGGAGAAGAAGGCTAGTGAGGAAAGAGAGATGTAACAAACGCCACCGATTAAAGCCAGTGCCATGTAAGGTATATGTGGTTTGTCTGTCTGTCTGTCTGTTTGTTCGAGAATGGAAAGAAGGATAAGAGTGAGAGGACTTAGCCAGCAACCTGCTTGACCTTGTCGTCCGTCTGGGGCGGCTCATCGACAAACTCGGGGACGGTCTCGTCCTGGAGGAAGCCGGGTATGGCAGAGTTGGCGACGCCGCCGCCCATCTCCATCTCGAGTTCCTGCTCGAGGCCGAGGGCCTCCAGCTCGGCGTCGAGCTCGGACTCGTCGACGTCGTCGGGGATATCGTAGGAGCGGGCGAGGCTGTCCTGTATGTCGTTCCCGACGTCCATGAGGTCGGCCATGTCGTCCTGCAGGCGCTCGATCTTGTCGATGTCGATCTTGCCGTACTGCCGCCTCAGCTCCTTGTTGGTCGTCTTCATGGCGTCGACCTGGGTCATGACGTTCTTGAGGTTGTCCTGCATGTTCTGGGCCTGCTCCATGTTCCACACCTGGCCCTCCAGCTTCTCCTTCTCGGCCTCGTAAGCCTTGCGCTTCTGGAGGACCTTGAGGGCCTTCTGCTTGATGGCCTGCTTTCCGGGTCCGTCGCGCATCCGCGAGAGCTTCTCCTGGTAGGCTGACAGCTCGCCGTTGATGGCCTTGAGCTTGGTATCGATCGAGGCCACGCGCGTGTCAATGTTGGTTATTGCGCCACTCAGTGTGGGTTTGGGGCCCTGAGGCTTCGAGCCGAAGAGGCGATTCATTTCGTATGCCGTTCTCTTCTCCCTCTCCCTCTCCTTCGTTTCGGATACGCCACTCTTGTGTGTGTGTGTGTGGCTTTCGGGCTTCTTGCTTGATGGGACAGTACGCTGCCTTGCTGGGTTGCCTGGAACGTATAGTGGGGATGATGGATATATTCTTCAGTGACGTTGTCGAAGGAACATGGTTTTTTCCGCCGGCAGAGGGACAAGAGTGTGGATGAGTCAGCATGGACAGCGAAGATACATGCGCATGTAGCAGAACAGTAGAGTAATATCAATACCCCGAAATCATATTACGTCTTATCGATAGTAATTGCCTTGTGTCATGGGGTTTTGACGTCCATCAGGAAGTAAGGTGAGTTGACGCGCCACCGCTACTCGCATATGCCACTGGCACTAGCGTCCCCCCCGGGGTCCATTGTCCGGAGCGGCATCAATGTAAACAAACCGTCGACAATACAGACGCACACTGACTTTTTATTCCTCACCTCACCAATGGGCTATCGTCAACCTCCTCACATATAATTTCCAGCTCGGTTTTTTCTTCTTCTTTCTCCCCTCCACAACTCTTCTTCTTTACAGACTATCTTTTTCCCCTCACGAATTTTACCATTCAAAGCTTCAACAGGAACATCCAAATTCTTCGAACCCCGTGTTTACCTTCGCGTCGGCTGCGTCCAATCCCGTCATGGACGTGCCGACAGCTACCTTTTCCCCTGGGGTCCAGCTCCCGACTGTGTATGCTCCCACCGGTTTTTTCCTGGGACTAGCTTCCTGAGGAGGAGTTTCGCGCTAACTTTACGTGTCCGTGACCAGACTCCCCATGCCGATCACCTTCTTCGGCGACAGCACCTCTTCGGAAAGCTGCAGGTAAGAAGACTGGAATTACTTGACTTGCTCCCGTCCTTCTCCTGGGGTGCCACTGACAGGTAGACTGTGCTTTCAGGAACGCCAACTGGTCGGTTACCCTCTCCCCCAGCTCTATCCGTCACTGCAAGCCGTCGTGGCGTCGCGTCCCCCGACCTGCGGCGAGCCTGCCTGGTCGCCGTCGGCGGAGAACAGTCATGAAGCGCGCGGGGGCGTGCTACTCGGTGCGGAGCTACCGGCGCGACCTGACATCGCGCCCATTCGACAAGCACTATACCGACGAGGAGAACGAGGTCAGCCAGACCAAGAGGCGGCATCTCGAGCTCGAATCCGGCCTCGACTCTGAGACCTCCTGGGTGCAGGGGTCTACACCTTCGGCGGAACAGGCTGCGGATGACTACAGACGCGCAAAGAGTAGGAAGCCCCCCTCGCCCTCTCTCGACGTGCTACATGGAAAGGTTTCGCTGACAGTTCAACCAGTCCATGTCATTCAGCACATTGCGCTCCACCCCGACTCCGCCTTCGACTTCACCGGCCGAGACGTACACATTGGCGGGCTGGTTCCCGTCGGCCGGGAGAAGCGTCGCGTCGACTGGACGCGGGCTCCCGGTGCCACCCTGGCGTTTTACCGCGACGTGCTGGCGCTTGTGGTCGAGGCCTGGGAAGAGTACGGAATGGACATTGTCAAGACGGACCTGGTGCAGCACATGATCCGCCTCCAGGGCACGCAGGCCAACGCACGCGACTGTCTTGCCGCTATCGGCGCGCGGGAAGAAGCGGTGGAGAAGCAGCCTGAGAGCACGGCCATGGCACCGAGCACACCTGCCAAGAAGCCGTCGCGGAGAAGGGCCCGGCTGAGCGACTACGTTGTCGCCAGTAATGTCACGGCCAAGACCAACTCCAGCACGTCTCCGTCCCACGAGGATGAGGAGAGCAAGAGCGCAGCCACTCCGCTCGCCGCCACTGCTTCTGCTCAGGCCGAGACCGAGGACCGGAACGTGACGCCTGCCAAGCGCTCGATGCCACCCCCCCCGTCGTCTTCTCACGGCCCACTGGCTACGGCCACGCCTCGGCGCAGCGGCGGTCTGGGACTGATAGGCTCAGTTCCCGAGCTGACGGCCTCGCCACCACCCACCCCGCCCTCGTGGAGAAAATGGGAGTCCGCCAACGTCCCCGACGCCGAGGCATTCCAGTTCTCCGGCGCTTCGTTCGAGGACACCCAGGCTAGCGACCACTACTCCATGTTTGGCAGCAAGGGAGACCGTCGCAAGAGCGAGCCCCTTCTACAGCACCTCCTCCGGGACCGCACGAGGCGCTTCTCGGCGTCGCCCCAGAAGTTCTTTGCCGGAGCTGACCGGTTCGGCGAGGCTGGCAGCACCGCCACCTCCAGGGCTGGAACACCCTCGCTTCCCTCGACGCCTACTCGGCCTGAGATGGCTGGCAGCCGCCGGAGCACCGATACGGACTTCTTCACCCCTCTCCCCGCCTACTTCAGGAGCAACCTTGCCCGTGGCGGGACACCGGCTGCCGACCGCAATGGAGTCTACAGCATCGACATGCGCGAGACCCAGGATATCTTCGGCTCCAAGACGGCTCGGCCTGTTGCCGCTGCTTCCGCTGAAACTATACCGGAGTCCGAAGATTGGCCAGCGGTGTCCGCCAAGCCCGAGACTAAGGTGGATCGTCTGACCGACCTGGCGGCGAAGACGGAAGAGGACGGCAGCGATGACGTTGCCGTGTCCCATCTGAACGGCGAGGTGGTTGTCCATTTCAAGTTGCCGGACGAGCTTGCCAGAATTCTAGGTGCCGGGGGTGAGAGCGACTCTGGATCTCTCACGGCCGAAGCGCGAGACGAGGAGATACCCCGTCCGAAGACGACCAAGAATATGCCGGCCAAGACAGCCGTTGCTACTACCCCCGTCGCAAAAACCTCCACCCGCATCGAATTTGACCGCACGCCCAACATCGGCGGCCTTGAGCTGAGCATCAAGGCACGCCGCGCCACTCTCGCACCCTCCAACCCGACGGGCACGGCCGACGTGCTCGGTTCGTCGCCCAGCAAGCTCTCCAGCATCGAGGATAGGACTCTGGTGGTTCCCGACTTTGCTGCCCAGGAGGACGAGCCGACCGAACGGCCTGTTGCAGCGCAGCTGGATCCCGGCAACGAGTCGTCCGTTCTGCTCACACCTACGCTGCAGCTCCGGAAGGAGATACAGGAGGCACCGAGCTCCGGACTGATCAGCGACATGTCGTTCAATCCCTCCTTCCAGACCCCGACGTTTGGCAGCCTCGACTTCAGCCCTAGCAAGTTGGACAGCAACAACACCCCCAGCCGTGCTCCCCCCAGCGCACAGAGGCAAGCCGACGTCGAGACCACGCCTGAGCCAGCAGTCGAGGCGCCCAGCAACGACGCGCAAGAGGAGGTCGTCCTGGACAGGTCACCCAAGTCGTTCACGCCCGTCAACAAGCCCACTTCCCCTCCGCAGCAGAACGGCGTTCCTGCCAAGGTCGACGAGGACAAGCCCGGCAACGAGGCGGCCCAGCAGCCGTCGTCGAAGCCTCCTGCACCCTACGACGACGACAGCCCAGGACGGGACTTTATGTACGACTTCATCCGGCGGTCGAAACCTAAGAGGCCAACGATGGCAGACGCCGCCGCCGCCGAGGCTGGCTCGCTCCTGCCACCGGTCCCCGGTTCCGTCGCCCGCACACCCCTCGGGATCAAGAGTCCCAACGCGAGCAGTCCCAGCCCACACAAGGAGAAGCGGAAGCTTGACCAGCACGAGTCTTCCTCCTCGCCCCTCAAGCCGTCCAAGAAGCCACGTCGTCAGGTGACTAAGTCCTGTCTGAAGAAGACCGAGGTCGCACCCGTCCCGGCCGAGAAGAAGGCAGCGCCCAGATCCAAGTCGGTCAGAGAGAAGAAGACGGCCGTGGAGGAGACCGAGACTGCGGCTGCTGCCGCAGTCAAGCCCAGCAGCAGCGACAACACGGGAAAGCATGACGTCCAAGAGGACGGGGAGGGCGCGCCCCGGCGATCTACCAGATTGCGAGCACAGCCTACCGAACCCACAAAGTCCTGCATCCCCACGGCCATCAAGCTCGGCCGGCCTACCTCTTCCGCAGGCAGGGGTGGCGTCAACGGGGCCACGGCCCTCAACTCTGCCGTGCGCAGCGAGCAGGCCGACCTCACTCGGCAGACCAGCTACAACACCAGGAGGAACAAGGGCAGGGCAGAGTCTGTGCAGCAGGTCCTAGCTAGATACTCGGACGAGTCACAGCCGCAGTCTCAGCCGCAGTCCGAGTCGGAAGAGCCCAGGGCTCCATCCAAGACTGGTAAGAACGTCAGCTGGATGGATCCTGTTTCTGCCCATCAGAAGACGCCCAAGAAGTCTAGATGCGCCAAGGCCTCTGCATCTACGCCTGCCAAGAAGGCTTCCGCCACCGTGGCAGGCAAGAGGACTCCGACTCCGACTCCGACTGCAAAGAAGACCATCCCCGCCCCTGCTTCCAAGATCAACGGCGCCGCCAAGGATCAGAAACCGCAGGGTGTGACTAGGTCGAGCGCAGCGCCTCAGCAGAAGTCCTCGCATACTGTCTCTCAGGCCGCCAAGAATCTAGGCATGGCGGGCAATGGTACTCCGGCGAAGAGGATGACACGGGCTCAGACAAGGAGGGTCGCATAGGGGTGAGAAGTTGCGTCTCGGTCTTTGCTCTTGTCCTTGTTCTCGGCCCTATTGTTCTATCTTCTTCTCTTGATGGCGATGAATGTTTGCTGTTTGTGTGCGTGTTTTCGAAGTTGTGCTTTGGCTGTAGCTGCGTGGCATGGAGATTATACCCCCCTCCTCAGATGAAAAAGGCTGATATCATGATGTATGCGGGCGTTTTTCTCTTCTCTTCTCTTTCAGCTTCAAGTTTTTAGCTTCTTGTCTTTACGGGAGTTTACCAAAAGAAAAAAGAGCATTTAGATATATGGTAATGGACTATTTAACGGACTATCTCCCTGGCACCTGTTTTCTGCATGTGGTGGTAATATTGTATCACGACGGAAGATAAGGCGTCGGAAATGGCCGATGGCGGCGCGCGCGGGGCATGATATCGTGCTTATATAGTCTTAGTAGATGGACCATGCCCCCCTCTTTCGTATCTTGCCGTCATTCTTGAAACCACATACGGTTGAAGTCTACGACTCTTGACAGAGAATAAAAGAAGAAGAAGAAGAAGAAGAAAGTGAAGAAAAAAAAGCACCGAGTGAGAAGGAAGGTGAAGAGTGAAAGAAAAAAAATGGCAACAGGGACAATCACGGAGAATGGACAGCCAGAGACGATGGAGCTAAGGTTGTCGTCCGGCAACGGCCCCATCACACGCAGGATCCTCAAGACACCGGTGCGGGACGCCCTGCCGTCTGAGATCCCGGTGATTGACATATCGGGAATCTTCAGCACGTCGGACGCGGACAGGAAGGTGGTGGCGGCGGAGATGCGGTCCGCGGCCATGAACAACGGCTTCTTCTACGTGCGCGGGCACGGCATCCCGACGGAGGTGACGGAGGCGGTGCACGCGGCGGTGCTGGCCTTCTTCCGCCAGGACGCCGAGACCAAGATGGCGGCGCACTCCCGACATAGCGCGTACTTCAATGGGTACCGGCCGCCGCGGAGCCAGCGCATCAACCCTCACGAGGGCATCGACGTGCGCGAGACCTTTTCGTGGACGTACGACCCCCGGCACGACCCGGAGGTGCGCGGCCAGGCTGACAGCATCCCTGACGAGATACGCCGGTTCATGCGCGTCGAGGACTTCCCCTGGACGGCGACGGCCAACCTGCCCGGGCTCCGGGATGCCGTGACGGCCTACTTCGCCGAGTGCCTGCGGGTGGCCAGGGCTCTGACGCGGGCCTTCGCCCTGTCGCTCGACCTGGACGAGGACGTCTTCGCCTCCAAGGTCCGGTACCCGGACGCGGCCTACGCGCTCAACTACTACCCTCCCCTCGCCCCGAAGGAGGAGGGGGGGGCCGGTGGCGGCGGCGGTGGCGGCGGCGACGAGGACATGAGCATCGGCTCCCACACCGACTTCCAGCTCTTCACCATGCTGTGGCAGGACGGCGAGGGCGGGCTGGAGGTCCTATCCCGTCAGGGCCAGTGGCTCCGCGCCGCGCCGGTGGAGGGTACCCTCGTCGTCAACATAGGCGACTACCTCGAGAGGGTGACCAACGGGCGGTACGTGAGCACGGTGCACAGGGCCAGGAACACGGGGCCCAGGGAGAGGGTCAGCGTGCCCTTCTTCTGGGGCTTCGGCCTGCACGAGAGCTGCGGCGTGCTGGAGAGCTGCGTCGGCCCGGACGGCGAGGTGCTGTATGACGAGGTTAGCTGCGAGGAGTGGGTGAAGAGGCGGGTCGGGAATATGCTCAAGGTCGAATGATGGGGGTGTGTGCTTGTGTGCTTGTGCGTGTGGATGGAATTAATGGACTTGGAGGGAGGGGGGGAGGATACATTATGTTTTTTTTTTTTTTTTTTTTATATGTGGGCTCCTTCATGACGTCTTGTGTTGGTTTACATCGTTTACGAGCATTACACCGAGGAAGGCGCTGGTGCTCCTTCCTTGTATGTCAGCAGACCCAGGTCTCTTGGCCATTCATGTTCTGCCTAGATTATCTACGATCATCATCTTCAAGAATTGATAGTATCATTACTACTACCCTACTGCCACTATTGCTACCACCACCACCACTACTATTACTACTACAGATTACGTCTGCACTACTACTGCTGCTGCTGCTGTTGCTGCTACTGCTGCTGCTACTGCTACTGCTGCTACCACCACCATCACTGCTACTACTACCACCACTACCGCTAAGAATGAGTGATGGCATCATGTACGAATGATTCGTGTCACGATCGAGGACCGTTTTCCCCTGCAGGTCAATACTGTTGGCGGTGTACAGATTATGATACTCTGTACGAGTAATGACACTTCTCCATGCGGTGACTAGATGGATAAGGTTCCGTTGCCGGGGATCGTGGTTGGACACCAGCCTTACTAGCATTACTAGCCGAAGCTGGGTAGCATCACCCTTCTCCTGTTCCTTGAATATGTTCTAGCAGCGATTTAGAAGCCATCCTTCCGAGACGAGCAAACCATTACTCGTGTACACCAAAACAGACGTGCACACACACAGACACTCGCACGCAAGGATATGGTCTGTCGTGAGAAACAACCCCAACCCCCCCCCCCCCCCCCCCCCCCCCCCCCCCCTGCTGCCGTGCTTCAGGCCACGCAGCATCATCATCTGCATCCCTCACCTGGCCACTGTCTCTACGCGCAACCCGACCTGGTTACCGGCCTCGTTGGACAAATGAAGAAAAGGAGAAAGAGCAGTAAGATGGGGGGCAAAGAAGGAGAAGAAAGAGAAGAAGAAAAAAGTGTCATCATCAGATCAACAATCCAGTCATCTCACATGCATTAGTTGGTGGCGTAATCGTCCGTAATCATTGCTGTACGAGTAATACGACGTTCTCTGGCGGATGACGGTCCCTTCAGAGCAACATCACATCCTTGGCCGGGCGTCTGGGGCCCTGGCGGAGGGGGACCGCGCCACAGGTACATATCATGGAGTATTGCATCCTGTGCAATCTGTGATGATCTGTATACAAGCCTCAGCCATACGCCTGTTCGGGTTCCGAGCATCCTCCACTGTGATGGACCTGCCCTTCACCCTGGCCTGGGGCAAGGATCGAGATGGAGCCCGAACCTGTTACCGTGCTACGCCGTGTGCTTCGGGGGGTTTTAAGGGGCCGCCTGTGTTTTTCGGCAGGACCCGGCTGAGAGTGCGAAGGAGTCAACTCCGGGCAGAATTCCCTTTCGTTTCTCTTTCATCTTATCTCATCTTCTAAACTTTCATTACTATTATTATTATTATTATATATACATGTAGTCTTCTCGCTATTCTCCAAGGATGAAGGATGATGAATAGTATTGATATACTCCGTAATACTGGCTGTCGGGTCTCCGAGCACAGCTTCAGATCCTTGCTACGCTCACCCTACACTCCCCGTCCCACACAGCTCCCCGCTATTTACGCCCCGCCACTTGCCAAAACAGAATCCCCACTTATTCTGCCTGACAACCTTTCTTCTTTCTGCTTCTCCCCACTCTCTCTCCCTCCCCTCTCTCTCTCTCTCTCTCTCTCTCCGTATATCTGCCCCCCCTGCCACACTGACGGTCAGACGGATACTTTTTATTTTTTAATTTTTTTTATTTTTAATTTTTTTTAAGGCGTGAGGCTCCTCTTGGGTTCCTCTCCCACATAATATTAAAGAAACAGACTGTCCCGCCACTTTGCCTCTCTCTCCTCGTTCTCGCACTTCTTCTCTTTTTTTTCCTACTCCATATCTAACGGCATTTATTTAACCCCTCATTCCCTTCTCCCTCCCCCCTCGCGATCCGAAACGAACAGATATATATACCATCACCCTCTGATACCCACCTGCGTCCATGTTTTGTGTAGACGAATACATATAAACATCGAAAACAATACCCCCCCCCCCCCCACAACGACATTTTTACGATCGCCACGATAATACATATACACACGCACACACAGAGAGAGTCTGAGACTCTGTCCAAACAAACAAACAAACAAACACACACACACGCACGCACGCACACGCACGCACACAAATAAACAAACAAAATGTCGACGCAAACATCGAACCACTCTTCTTCGCCTTCCTCCTCCTCCACCAACTCCTCCACAAGTACAACCTCGTCGTCGACACAAGACCAGTACTACTCGTACTACCTGGTGCCCAACATCGAGAACCTGGATCCGTCGTCCCTGACCCGAGAACTCGACCAGGATTCCACCGGATGGGTGCAGACCACCATGATCGACGACGACGACCTGACCTTTGGAGGGAAGAGCCTGAGCGCCTGGCACGAGGAGGACCGTCGACGTCTCAGCACCGGCGCCGGCACCGGCTCCTCCATGGCGGATGATGGTGATGAGCACAGACGTGGGAGGGAGCGTGTCCGTCGCCAGTCGCACACCAAGGGTGCTGCACAGTGATGTGCTCCTTATTCTCATCCTTCTCCCGCTCTGCCATCACACCACGTTTCCTCCCCCCTGTCTGCTACCGACGTATCATGCATAGAAGGAGGTCTGCCAGGCATTTTTTTTTCTTTTTTCTTTTTTCGTCTTGTCTGCATTCCGTCATGTTGGGTTTCCTTTCCATACCTGTCTGGGGTTGGATTTGGGCTCGAGGTCATCATCATCACAAGAGAGAGAGAGAGAGAGAGAGAGCATCACTACAGAGAGAATGGCATGTCCAGAGAAAGGATGCATAATTCCCTTTCCACAGCCTTTTTTTTTTTTTTTGTCTAGGGCTATGAGCGTCTTCCCTGCTTTATTGTTTTTTTCTTCTTTTTTCTTTCCCTTCGCTTGTACCCATTTTGGGGGGGGTTTCTTATTGATGAAACTGGCATATATATACGATACCACTTTATGACTCTTTATTGATCTTGTCCAGCTCCTCCCTCCTCTCCCGGCGTTTTGGCAGGTTCCGGCTGGGAGGGGAGGTCACCTGGAAGCCGGAGCAGATACAACAACAATCCGCATGATGCCCGTATGACGGGTATCTGCCCATGCTCAGAATGTAGCGAGAAAGAATACAATATCTCATCACATCCCCCGTCGATCGTGCCATTCGTGTTTGCTTGTCCAGCGGTGAAACCCTGCCCCGGGGATGATCAAGGTCATGTTACGCAAATCTGGAGCGTGACAGCCACGCACAAACCACCCTTGCCGTGACGGATCTGGCCAATCCCATATGGACATCTTCACTCTGTTCTTTTCCGGACCTGATCTCTCGCGTTTCCCTACACAGGTCATATTGTAAACATGGCGTTCTTCTCTCTCGCCTCCCCTCTTCTCCATGGAAATGTCCACAGATTACCATGTGACCGGATAGGCTCTTTCGGTGCCCGTCTCTGGGTGTGGGCTGCTTTGCTGCCTTGCTTTTTCGACAGTGACGTAATGGCGTCACCGCTCGTATATCTGACGTAGTCTTCCCTCTCCCATTTTTCAACCGCGTGGTTGTGCGTGTCTGTGTGTGAGATGGCTTTGACTTACTCTGAATTCTTACCCCCTCAAACTCAAGCTCACCTTCTCTCATGTGTCTCTGTCTCTCCTCTCGTTTTTTTTTTCTTTTTTTCTTTTCTTCCTTTCTTTTTCTCATTACGAATATGTACAGCTCTGCACATCGCCATGTACGTCATCTATGAAGTAAACAAGCTAGCTTTAGCTGCCCCCGCCACTGTGCGCTCATCCCCCCCTCGGTATATTTTGGCATGTGAATAATGGCAGTGTCAGATCAAGAAAGGGGCAAAAAAAAAAAAAATTGAGAGAAGACGAAAAGAAGAGGAAGAAGAAGAAAAGAGGTTTGTCATTAACGGCGTCGAAAACGGTCAAGATAAAATAAAAAACGTTTCATCATGACACTATGAATGATTTAGACATCTTTGCAGTCTACCTCTCTGATTGTGCACACAATCCTCGATCGTCGATGATAGTTTATTTAGCCTGATGGCCAGCTCATCATCACCCAAGCCCAAGAAGCCAGGGGGGGCTGGGCTGAATGACCCATGACCATGGCCACGATTCAGAGTGGACCTTGTGTGCGTGTGCATGTGCGTGTGTTCCTGGCGAGAGTCTCGGGTCTGTACGGGAGGACAAGGCACGCAAAACAGATTGCAAATCGTCGTATCCTCGCGTGAGCAGCCGGGACCGGACCTTTTGGCCAGTATCATCATCGACCCGGGGATGGAATCCGGGTCGAGCCTCATTCTCGGTTCTCGGCCCCCAACGTGTCGGGTTCCCTTTTCCTTCCCGGGGATGCCAGCATATTGATCGCACTTGCATTGCACCTGCTACTGTTACCATGGACTTACTCCTTGCCGAACAAGTATTGCGAAGTTGTCTACGAAGGTGACAGTATATATGATGTGTATATATGTATATATGTGCGTGTGCGTGTGCGTGTGCGTGTGCGTGTGCGCGTGTATATGTATACATGTCTTCGTCGTGCCGCAAGGGGCAACTCCAAAGTTGTATTGCAGGTCTCCCTCTCTCGTACATACGGTAATAATAAAAGCTCGTACGGTAATAAATTCTCTGCACCCAGAAATTAAAAGCAAGACAGAGAGAGGAGAGAGTCTAGAGTAGGTCAACCCAGTCCAGCCCAGCATCCATCTACCAACCGCGCCCCCCCCCCCCTCCCTGCAGCGAAGAAGTACCGAGTAGATAGCCAGACCGAGGGGGTGACGAGCTCGAAAGCCCGACCACGTCTCCTTGTCACTATTTGTGGCTCTTTTCGGCGCCCGTCAGCTTTGCCGTGTCGTCCCATAATCTTGGGATCCGAATACCAGGCCGTATACCAGCTGACACAGACCCAGATCCCTTATCACGACTTTGATCATGGGGTCAGCCGCCTGGAAAAATCAGACGTTAATTTTTAATTTTTACCAGTGCTGATCTTTTTTTTTTTTTTTTAAAAAAAAAAAAAAGAATTACCACGTCACTTGTATCCTTTCTTCTTTTTGTATGAAAAACATATCGTAGCAGCAGTATCGAACCATCTCTCCCGGGTGAACCGGCTTAGGGGGGGAGAAAAAGGAAGAAGGCAAAAGAAAAAAAAAATCGTAGAGATACATGATGCTGCGAATGATCATGGATGATTTAATATCCCCAGAATTTACTCGGAAATCCCATAGGCGGGGGGAGGGATGGGAGCTCCGATGCTCGGCCGTGTCCAACGACTACCGTTACATTTCGGCTCATGTTGGCAGGATCGGCAGAGCAAGTCGCGAGTATCATTACTCCGTAGTATTATCGTTCTACCACTGCTATTACTTACTGCTACCCGTTATAGCATGTGCATTTTTTTTTTAAATGGTATGATTACTCTGCGACTCAACCGTATCAGATACCAATGACAATCCCGGTCTTGTTGACTCGTCCCTCACGCTCCGTCCTCTTCCCCACCCACCCACACATCCGTCTGACCCAGAGTCAAAAATGCCAGCTGCTTAATGTCGTATGCATTGCTCATCATTGCGAGTCCCGCTTGATCCGATCCACGGCCGATCCGGCATTTACACATGTAGTAGCTCTCTGTATTCACTCCGTGCTCGTACAATATTAAAGTAGTAAAATCACCCCATTTCTTCCCTTTCTCGTCTTTTTCTCTCCCTCTCTCCCGGGCTTATAAGCTTGGCAGATACTTTATATTCAACGACTACCAATTACCACATCTCATACACCTACACGATAGATACGCACACGCACACTACAAGCTACATCCTGTATATATTATATATATATCATATACTATATATATATATATATATATACATATATATATATACACTCACCCACACTCACCCACACTCACACTCACACTCACACTCACACTCACACGCACGCACACGCACACGCACACGCACGCACGCACGCACGCACACATCGACAGCATCACACCTTACACACCTCTCAACATACAGTCGAGACACACCACAAAATGTTCCGCTCTTCCAGATCTTCATCTCCCGACGACAGCTACGTCTACAACACCAGCCGTCGTTCCTCGAGTACGGACTGGTCCGACCGCAGCTGCAAGGACCTAACCGACGACCGCACCCGCAACCTGTGGAGGTGTATGCTCTATCTCCAGGAGCACTATGCTTGCTATCACTCGGCCAGGATAGATGTCGCCATGGAGGCTGGCGACGAGAGCGACTACTATATGCGTATGTCTCTCTCTCCCCTCTCTCCCTCCCCCTTCCTCTGTCCCTCGATGCAGTCCACCCGACATCATACTGACATCCCCCCCCCCAGCAAGCCGTTTCATCATAGACACCCTCAACGAATCCGTCATCGACACCCTCCCCGACCAAGCGTGGGAACTCCTGAATCAGTTCCTCCACCCGTAAACCATCTACAACCTATTCAAACCTGAATACATCCGCAACCCGTCTCCCCGCCCTCCACTCTCATCCTTCTCAGCAACGACTCGACACGACACGACATCTCTTCTCCCCCATCTTTCTTCCCCTCTCTTTTCAGTATCAGCCATTTCTTTTTTTTTTCTTTTTTTTTTCCAGGCGTTCCATGTCACTTCGTAACCAGCAGTATGGGTCATCAACGGGGTCGATCGAGACAAGAAATCTCCTGTTTTCCCTCCTAGTTCCGTTCAACATGTTTCTTTATACCCCCCCCCACGCATCTCTTTCAATACCACCCGTACCAGACTGCATCAGACTGCATCCAATCATTATACCATAATACCATTTACCACGTAACCTCCCTCGATCACCTCTCCAATCTTGATCTTTTCCTTATCCGCACACTTGAGCGTGACTGCAACTACGCCGAGCTCGACCTCGCTTCGCTTGCATGTGCTTGTATAGACTTGGTGTCTGCGTTGTGCCTCCGGCCACCCTGCCGGGACTTGGTTGACCTCGCTTCGCTCGCACTTTGGCCTGTATCCCCTCTGCTTTCCCCTCTTCTTTTCCGGACCCTACCGGCCACCCTCGTAAGAAAACCCCAGAGCCCCGTCGCCCATGGAAGCAGCCTGTATCGCCATACTCTCCCTGACTCTCTCCCTGATCTCCCCATCCTCAATATCCGTCCCCGCAAACGCGCCGTGCGTCGCGCGAAACTCGTACCCCCTCAGGACACCCCACATGCGCACCAGCTCCTCCGCCCGCAGCGGTATCATATTGGGTATGCTCCACATGAAGGCGAAGGTGTTCATCCCGGGCGGTCTGCCGCGCGCCCGGCCCGCCCCGTCCACGGACCAGTCCCCCATCCCCGAAGGGGTCGTCACCAGCGTATCCGCCACGAACAGGTGACCCCCGGACAGCAGCACCATCGACCCGGGGAAGTGCCCGCCCAGCTTGATGGCCGTGACGCCCTCCAGCACGTCCGTGGCCGTCCGCGTCAGGCCGACCCTGCGCGCGCACGGCATCGTCGCCCAGCACTCGTCCTCGCTGGCAACGTACACCCGACATCCGAACGTGCGCGCCCACTGCGCGTGCGTGGTGTAGTAGTGCGGGTGGCTGATGACCATGGCGTCGATGCCGCCCAGCCCGCGCACCCGGCACGTCGTCTCGTCGTCCAGGAGCGTCAGGCAGTCCCACAGCACGTTGCCGCCCTGCGTGCGTATGAGTGCCGCGCGTTGGCCGATGCCCACCTTCGGCTGGGTCTCGATGAAGATGATCTCTGCGTCCGACTCGTCATTGCCGGTGCTGGAGCTGGTCCCGGCCCTGGTCTTGTAGTGATACGGTGTAAAGACATTCGCATGGCCGTCGCGCCGCAGCTCGTCCAGAGTCGTGAACGACTGCCCTGTCTGGGGCACAAATTGTCGCGCGTCGTCGCAGATGTGGCATGTCCTCGTGCTGTTCCTGTCCGAGCTGGGGAATTGCGTCCCGCATGTACGGCATATGAGCCATGATGATGCCGTCTTTTCGTCGTATTCTTTCGTCGTTGTATACTTGGCCATGGTGGGATATATTGTTGTGGAATCTACAGCCTTGCCTCCGGTGGGAAGATGATGTGGTCATCTGTCATACGTGAAGAATTATTGAAACCCCGGGCTATCCCTCTTCTCTTGATGCCCTGTACAAGCGTATTGCGTCCTGCACTCTACGATACGTGCCACTTTCGAAAAGTCACTGAATCAAACCAGACGTTTCTCCCCCTCCCCACCCCCACCCCCACTTTCCCCGCAAACGCCGAGACAACGTCACTGCACTGCATACTTCTATCAGCTACTTCCTCTGCTCATCATCTCGATTTTTCTTACCTCGGTTCCAAGTCAATGATTATGCTGTCGCCAAACTACTGCTACCTGCGTGAAAATCTCTATCCGTGATTGCGAGGCCTAGAAACCCTGACCGGTATCGTGATGGGAATGAGAATGACCACATGACGGCCGTGACAATGGCAACCTTTAAGTGCTGCCTTAGTTGTCAGGAATCACGCGCGGGCTACCCCCGGTAGAACCTTCCTTCCGTCTGACAGCAGCGCCGCTACAACTCTGATCCCCGCCAAAATATACACTATCCATCGTCACTCACTGCAAATACTTCTTACGAGACACCGAGAGCGTAGTTTGCTTCCGGAATCATGTCAGCGATAGCATTGTTGAGCAGCGTCGATGGCAACATCGGTGACAAGGGTGACCCTGTTGACTCTGAAGACGAATGTAACGTTGAAGAGGTGGCCGAAGACTCTCCCATCCGATGCATTCAGGGTGTGCACTATCCAATCTGTATCGGAGACGTTCTCGCCAGCCGATATCGTGTCGAGCACAGACTGGGCCATGGCGGCTTTTCGACAGTCTCGATGGCAGACGACGCGGTCAATCAGGTAGATGTCGCCCTAAAGATCATCAAGCCCGGGGGGGATCGGGAGAGTACGGGTACTCTATCCAAAACGAAACGAAATCGTTACGGCTGCTGGAAACACGCCGCTTCTCCTGCTATACCGGGATACCTTCTTTATATGCAGTCCGTACGGTCAGCATCGACTTCTAGTCTTTCCAGTACAAGGCCCGAATTTCCGAGAATATGCCTGTCAAACACCGTTCGCAGCCCGTATGTCTGCTCTGAGGCAATTGCAACAGAGCTTGAAGTGTCTACGTGATGCTGGATTTATACATCGAGGTTCGTCAAGCGCACCCTATACTGATGCGCCTAGATTTACAACCTGGCACGTTCTATAGACTTGAACACCGGAAATGCCATGTGCAGTCTCTGCTCTTCCGACAACTGCAGCACGACAACTACGAAATATAAACAGCTTTGGTCGGCCCCAGAAGATGACTATGCCTGAATCCCACCGAATATGGAAGAAGGCCGGGCTTGTGATGCCAGTGAGACCTCATGGCAGTATTGTGGGGGACACGGTTTGTCTCGGCGACTTTGGTCTGACCGTCAGAGCTGACACTCAAGTGACATCAACTGTGCAAGCTCCTGTTGCCTCTTGCGCCCCGGGGAGATTTCATGGTGAAATGCCGACTTCTGCTTCTTCTGACACGTGGAGTTACTTCCGCATCTCTGCAGAGCTCTATATTGGCAGACCTCTGGTTTGCGGTCCCGGGACTGCCTTTCTTGTCGACTATATAGCTGATACCTTCGACTCCCTGCCACAATCCTGGAATGGGTGTTACATGGCTGGTGCCACATATCAGCAGTCCTGGTATGATCCTTAGAGACGACCTCGACCTGAGGTATCCCTAGAAACTAGACTTGCCAAACATCGTCCTGATATTGGTGTTGTAGAGCGACAGCATGCACTCCGAGCTCTGTAAAGGGGGTTTTCTTGTGTACCTCAGCATCGTTTTGCTGCTTTGCTGCTTCCCAGCTTCTAGGAGACTCTTCTTTCAGGGCCTTGATGAAAATATATGGCCTACGAAATGCCTGGCTAGATCTGCACTCAGCCGTGAATCCAGCTTCAGCGCAGCTAGCCTCAGACCGCTCATTAGTACGTACGAGCAGCTTATCTCATACTCACCTGATACGCAGCTCTTCACCATGGTTGCTAGCTGACGACCTGAGGGCAGCTGTAGAGCTCGCAGCAGCCTGGACAGGGTTTTGCCGGATACTCAACCTCTACTGCCTTGTCGGTCTGACGGTACCCTGATGAACGCTCACTGTTGTGTCACAGCTCTGTTAGAAGTCCGCCCACCTGGCCATATATGCCATACTTTTCCGCCGTCATGGTGGGCGGGAGAGCAGAGCTGTCCCGTACTGTGTTCCGACAAGGACGGTGTCGAGTCTGACGGTATAGGCGTCAGGATCGACACATGAGCAAGACCGTGTAAGAGAAACGGCGGGGATTGTGAACGGTGAGAAGGTATCGGGAGGCAGCAGCGTCGACGTCCCGTCGTGCATTACTCCTGACGTGAAACATTTGCTTGCAGAAGCGGCGCGTTAGAATAAAGAGATTATCGTGTTCAAGGCCGCCGACGACGGGCTGCGGTATATGCTCGCCGTTCCATCCTAGATCCTCAATGTTAACGCCGTCGTGGTCGAACTGGCTGGCCCCCTTTCCCTGGGGTGGTGAATGCCGGATACCCTTCTCTGCCAGGGCGTGGCTGGTTGTCGGTGCGAGGTCGACGACGCTGACGGTGCTGATGCTGGCCCCAGCGTGGTTAGACGATGATGGTGAGGACGACGGGGTGGTTGGCAACCGGACCTCTCTGGGTTGCTACTACTGTCGCTAGTAGCAGCGTCTTCATCCTTGATCGTGGCCATCGTGAAGGGCTGCATGGATTGAATCACGGACATGCAGCCCAGGCGGAATTTGGTAGCAGGTCTGACCCTGACAAAGATCAATTCTTGGATCGTAGAAGGGCTCGGCTGGCTGGATCGCTTCTCGGATTATGAGCTGGTGATGATGCCCCCCCTCTCTCCTCATCATAACTATGTGAAGAAAGGAAATTCCAACTATCTGAACGTCGGATCCATGGAATCCCACTACAGGAGGACTCAGCGAGACTCAGCGAAGAAGTACTAGCCTCTTCATGTCGGACTCGCTACTGCTACCCTCAATCAAGGAATGTCGTACACGGTTGCGCAACCTTCGTTTGACGTCATGTAATATACGATTTGCGTCTAGGTGAATGGGTGAGAAGGAGCGAGCATTGTGGAGAGCCCGTCAGCTTCGAACTTGGAAGGACAAAGGACCCCGAATCACATGCTAATACGGCTCAACAAACTTGATATTGCTACATGTTTTTAGTGTTTCTAGAGTCAATGGAGAGTTATTGGAATCGGAGATACGAGTACTTGCAATGTTGTGCACATCATCGCGCACTATCTGGCTAATCTCTCTTCTGTGGTTGGTGTTTGTTGCGTCGACCCCGATCTTGATGAGGGGATCCCTTCCTAAGGCTTGCACTGCTGCTTACCCTAGAGCCAAAATTGACCGCACGCAGCTGACGTTTGGGTGAGGTACGTGCGCAGATGAGACACGCCACCTCCAATTCTGCTCTCTAAGATTGTGAGTGGGATCTGCGCAGAGTTATCTGGCGGATCTGCTCATAGTGTTGCTTACTTGATCTACTTCTCAATCGTACATCTCTCTCCCCCCAAGACAATGTTTTCTTCCCCAACTTGAATGTATGATGTCACTAGGCAATCAAAAAAATTTACTTACCGCAGACGTCGCGTGGACAGTCTCAATCGATACCCCACAGACATAGAATAGCAATCCAGAAAAGTCTATTACATATAGAATGGCTCCAAAGGGTTTGCCTCGCGTCATCTCGCACCTATTACCAGATGTCGAATATCAGGAATATCATCATGTCCTGCGCAAGCACACTTTTAGGTTACCCTGCACCCAGATACAAACGCAACTCCGCTAGCCGCTCATCCACTTAGCGGTCACCACTTACACCGACAAACACAGTTTGCTGATGAGCTGTCCATCCTCACCTACTTTTGGCCGACCCCTCCCCCATAGAGACAGCCCGCTACGCAATCTAAAGGTTACGGAGACACATGGGCGCTGCAGGGACCCATCAGCACGCTCATAATTGTAGACCGACAGACAAGACAACAAACTGACGGGGTTGCATAGGTACCCGGGCCATGATGGGAACCCAAAGAAGAACCCAAAGAAGAACCCAAGGGTTAACCCGAACAGGAAACCAGACATGAACTCGGCGGGAATGTTGGTATGGCCCAAGGGCCCGCCCGTCCAGCAGGAAGAAGGAAAAATCCCGCCAACGCGCTGGCAGCAACAGAGACTACTTTTGCGTAAATAAGAGAAGTAGGGATGAAATCTCACCACCAGGTCATCTGTAGGGAGGAGGGAGCATGATACGTGTGCTGATGCTATCACTACTGTACGAACACCGGACAAGAGGTCAAAGCATTGCTGTACAAACCAGCCTCATTCTTTTCTTCTTCGGCATTTGCTTTTTGCCTCGCCATGGCCCGTCGCCCTGAAACCGTGGCGCGTTACAACCTTTTCAACGCTGTAATATCTGAGCTCCCTTCGAGAGAGAGGCGGAGGGGGGAGGGAGGAAAGAAATTGCATCTTTTTTTCTTCTACTTTCGCTCTCTTTCCTTCCGCCTTCGCTCCGTGACCGAGAGAAGCGAGAGAGGGGGGGGGGGGGGG